CGACAGAAACCCAATATTTTTACTGTTGCCTTTTGTACATTTGTGTTGTATTTTTGCTGATAAATAAATAAAGGGAGACTAGTATAGATCTATTTCAAGCTATTTAGCTCTCATCAGCTAGCCACTAAATATATACCTTCCTCCCTGGTTTCAGCTAATAAGGAGGAGGACCTTGTGGCTCAGTGGTTAACACATCTGCCTAAGAGGCAATACAGCACCGGTTCGAATCCCAGTAAGGGTATGGCTAGCTGATGAGAGCTAAATAGCTTGAAATAGATCTATACTAGTCTCCCTTTATTTATTTATCAGCACAAATATAACATACATACATACATACATAATACATACATACATACATACATACATACATACATACATATAAGCACATCCTAGCTATATCACACTCTCTTGAGTTAAATCAGATTTCCCTTTAGAGAAGACTGGTCCATAAGTAAAAAAAAATTGTACTTTTCCCACTCAACAACTGAAAACAGAGCTCAAATGCTGTACTACAGAATTAGAGCTGGTAGAGAAAGGTTTTTTTTTTGACCCATGCCATTCTATAAACCAAATGGGAAAATAAAGAATGCACAAATTGTCATCTATATAAACTCTGCCTTATTCTAACCTTCATAAATTCTGCACAAATTAGTGACTTGGTTTATTTGCATCAGAATGCATGCTTGGCTCACTTTGAAAAACTTTGCATGTTATCGTAAACTACACAATATAAGCTGTTATTTTAAAGCCTATATTTCCTTTTGGTGTGTATAAATATATTACTGAAAATGTATTTGGTGAGTATAAGGAGAAAGTAATAGATTCTTATGTCAAGCAAGTAAAGCCATTGGAAATAAAAGTATACTAAATGACATAGAAGTTAAAGGCAGAACAACTTCATTTTGGCATTTGAAGACAAACTGACCATAATAACACAGAAAACTAATTTCCATTCATTGGACAGAAATGAAAGATTAGATAATCATTAATTGATTAGATCCCATATTGCAGTTACTATTATATTAAGAAACCAAGGCTTCAAATTCAAACTTAGAAATAATTTAAATGAAGAAACTGCCAATAATATTGAAAGATATTAAAATATCTCATTCTATCAAAGACATGTAACAATGTTGCTTCTATAGGGCAATATTATTAATATCTTTTCATTAGTAAAGAATGTGTAGTGATTAGTAAAGCAGGGTGATTTTTAATGGCTTTGGCAGAGAGACATAATACAAATTCATTAAATATATATTTATAGCATGAGGATTTGTGTCACACAGGTTTTAAACTGATATTTAACAACTGAGAGCCGAATACCCATTATGTCTTTAAACTTATATACCAACTAAGCAGAAGTAGTTTAGTTTATGGTCTGGATTCCTATTTTAACCTTGCAAATTTCTTATAAAATAAGTTAGGCTAATATGATTCAGGCTCATATAGTGAACCTCCTGATTGGTTAGAAAGTTTGAACTCTCCCTAGTCTCAGAAAATAATCCAATATCTTTAAACTCAGGAAACAAATCATACTGAGTTGAATTATATATTTTCCCAATAGGGAGGATAGTATGAGACTAGACTGAAGCTGCTGTACCTACAGATGAAGCAGGCATGTAAGCAGGGTGGAATCATGTCTACAAGACCCCTTCAGGGAGGTAAATTAAGAAGAAGCCGACTCCTTAAGGAAACTATGGAAAGAATGTCACTGGAACCAGACAAAAGAAATTGGGTCTGGGTGCATGGAAGCTCCCCTCCCTATAAATCCCAGCAACAGCTATCTGACCTGAAGACCAACAAGACAAGATTGAGGCCAGCCTTGTGAATTGATAAAACAAGCATAAAAGATCCTGAAGCTTGCCCACTTTTTGAGTTGTTTTGTATCCAGATTTAGCCTGTAGCTAATGCCTGGCAGCCTAATTACAAGGATGTTGGTAAGAGTGGATGAGTGTATATTTGCATGTGGGAGAGAGTAAGTGTAGATTGTAACCAGTAAAGTTTGGCTGTTGCTTTAAATTCATGAGTCTCCATAAGGTTCTTGTAAATAACCTATTGTGCTTCAGTGTTTGGTTGAAAATGAATTGAGTGTGTCCCTAATTACTTCTCAGTTGTTGACCAGGACTGTGAATGTGTGTGAGAGAGCTGATCTTTAAGAAATTGCTGATGTACTATAAATCCAGCACTATATAAAATGGAGCATAATGATGGGCACCTCATTTTTTTAATGAATAAGTAACTAAGAATTACAACAATTCTTAAATGTGTTTATTCAAAAGGAAGGCATTATCTAATAAATATAGAATTATAATTTCAATGACAGAAGAACTCTCTTTCTATTTTTGGTCTGGTCATGTTAATCTGGTTAAGCATTGTTAATTCTCCTTCATAATGCTGGCATTCAAATATTTCCAGTTGTTAACTGTCAGGAACAAGACAGGGCCATTCTCAGCACCTTTTTTATTAATTTCATACCGAATGACAACCTGTTGATAATGTTGAGTTGAAGGCTCTTCCTATTAATTAAGTACACAGAGACTACTGCTTTGCTATGGCTGGATCTTTTACCATTCTGGTCAACTAACTGGGAAGAAACCCTGAGGATATTGGACTATTTTTTCCTCTACTTAATAGAAACCTTTATGCTAAGATGCAATCACAAGAAAATGAATGTATGCTTATCCTGCAGTAATTTTTATTTTCAGATAAATGTATTGCAGACTTCTAGTCCTGTTTAGTTGACATGATAACCAGAGGAGGAAACTGTTCACTCTAGGCTCCAATGCTCTAGATATGCACAGAAAAAAAGAGAATCTGATGTTTGTCCATTCCCATAATATGATTGGTAACATTTTCCTCACTCTAGCATTTGGTAGAACAGCCATGGTGGTCTGATTAGTTAACTTAATAGCTTGAAGAATTCCATAGCTTCAATTGACTGTTGCAGTTTATATTACATTATATTAATTACATCCCACTATACAACTATAGTGATTACTATTAATTGGATTAATAATATTACATTAGATTTGAACATTTGGATTAAATCCAATTTATTAATAGAGATTAGTGTACAAAGGTGGGTGTATATATATGTATATGTGATGAATGTTGAACTCAAACAATTGCATTTTAAAAGAAAAATGCTTTTAACAGAAAAGTTTGTTTAACTTAAATTTCTGCCTGGAGTTTTTGAATCTGCAATGGGCAGTCTCAGCGTTGGCATTTGCATAAGGTCAAAACTCTGAAAAACATATTATCTCATTCCACATTTGAATCCCTCTATTCCCAGATTAACATTTGAAGATATAAGATTCAGAGGTAAAGCGGATGAGAATGAATTAGCCTTTAAAAAAAATCAGGGCAGGGCAATGCTGGGATTGCACATGCTGCTTGATGCAGTCTCTGCCTGTCTTAACTTAAACTTTACTGAGGGTAAATATTGTCTTTAATTTTCAAATGGTCCTTTGAAATCTCTACTAATTTTTCTATCACAGCAGAATCTTGCATTTCATATAATCTGGTGAACACTTTGGTCAAATGAGGACTTGGTTCTCACCTCCTTGTCCAGCATCTTATCCACTATATTACTGGATTATTCTCAAAATGTGCCAAGAACTATATCCTACAACATCTTTACTCAACATAAAATATTTTTGAGATACAACTTCCAAAATTCTCAGGTAATTATATTTAAATGT